TTTAACGACCGTCTATGTGTGACCGCATCTTAATTAAAATGAAATAAAAGTGATCATGTATTAACTTTTTTTAATCGAGTGATCATACTTTTATAAAAACAAAACAAAAGTAATCAACTTTGTACTTTACCTTTCAAAAAAATATAAGAAATGACTTAATTATCACACTACTTTTAATATTATTTGTCATAACATAAAAAAGAATTAGTAAAAAATTTAAATTTAAAACTAGAAAGATAAGTGAAAACTTAACAAGAAATAATACATATTCTAAATAGACACTATATATTTTTCTCTTTGGTCAAATTAGATCATATTAATAACTAAAAGTTATCAAGCGAAACTTAATTCATTACTAATTCAAGTACTAAAACATGAGAAATAAATAGTAGCTACAAATGTAGATATTCACGTACCTTGCATGTGAGGCTTTTTTTATATATCAAAATATCACCTAACATATCATTATTTCTCATTTTAATATCTATATTCAATTATTTTTTGATTAATACTTTTTTCTGTCACGTAGGTAAATACACATTTTGAAAAAAAGTGTGTTTTATTGATATAGCAGAAGACACAATATGTGTCTTAGTTACATAAGCACATACATGAATCAAGCAACATCAACAACATTGCATGAGCACAAACATGAATCAAACAACATAAATAACATATGTGAGTCTTATATTCAATCACTCTATAAAAACGTGTAGAACCAATATTTTGATATAATAAATAAGGTTAAAAAGTCTTTGGATTTACTTAAATTAATTCAAACATTGCAAAAATAATTCAAGTTTTTAGAAAGATTTTTAAAAGGCGACTCTAGGCAATTTTGGGTTTGGTTTCAAAACCCCAATTGCTAGTTTTGAAAACTCCTGGTGCAACAGTCAAATTTTTATAGGCAGTTTCGAAACCCCCTAGGTAGTTTCGAAACCTCTGTGCAGAATTGCATATTTTCATGCTTCTAACAACCAAAATTCATCCCCAACGGTCACAAATGGCTAGTAACTCATTCCAACATATGAAAATAAGTTGAGGACACTTGAAGAAGATTACAACACCTATCCAAGCAATCCACATCAAGAGAAAAACTCTTTCAATCTTATTTTTCCTTTTCTCTTGTACATAGAGTGTTTTGTGAGCTAAATTATGTGAACACTACCTTGTGAGGTTTTCTTGTTCACATTTTATTTATCATTTTGTAAAAAGGGTTTGGTTCTACTTTAGCCATTGAAAACTAGGGAGTTGTAAAAGGTTACTCTTGAGCCTATAAAAAAAGAACAAATTAGTGAATTTGTTAGAAATCCTTAGTATGGAACTAAGGTAGTGGATATAAACTTCATTTGAGGAAGTTAAACCACTATAAATACTTGTGAAAATTTTCCTATCCTTTCTCTCTATACCCAAAATTTTCAATTGGCCAATTCATCCCCTCTTGGCACATTTTTGGTTGATCAAATCGAGCCTAACAATTGGTATCAAAGCGGTCACAATCGAAGGTTTAACAACCTTGTGAAGATCCTAGAAGAGCTCTATCAACTTCCTCTATCAACCGAGAAAGATGGATTCAATCTTTGACTCCTACTACATTGAAGACTCACAACCAGTCAAAAAGCCATCATATTTCAATAGAACTAATTATGCCTATTGGAATAATAGGATGATGCTCTTCATTCAAGCTAACGATCTAGGAGCTTGGAGCTCTATCTTGACGGGTCATTCTACTCCATCTAGAGAGATTTGAGACAAACTCCAAATCACTCATGAATGAATCGATGAAGTAAGGGAAACAAAAATCGGTCTTCTCAACCATAGCTATGAAAATTTCAAGATGAAACCGGATGAAGACATCAAAGCTATGACGGATAGATTTTCCGTGTTTGTCAATGGTCTCAAGGGATATGGAGAAAGTATCCCTAATGAAAAGCTTGTGTGGAAGATGATTTACTCTATTCCCAAGTCTTGGCAATTGAAGAAGACGACAATCATCGAAGCAAAGAATCTAAAGCCTCTCATCCTGGATGAGCTTATTGGTTCTTTGTTGACTCATGAGTTGATGGTAAAAGATGAGGAGCAAGAAGAAGAAAAGATAAAATAGAAGAGCAAGAAAATGAAGGAGGTGAGAATCTCCTTCAAATCCACCAATGACAGTAATCAGGACTCAAATGAAGATGTGGATGAAGATGAAGAGATGTCCAAGCTCTTCGAAAGATTCAAAGGATTCATGACATCCAAAAAAGATAAAAAAAAACATGAATCAAGCAAGAAAAATGGTTTATAGTGTGCTTTGAATGCCAAAGAACTGACATGTCAAATATGATTGTCCTCTCTTGAAGAAAAATGGATCAAACAAGAAAAAAACATTTGTAGCTGCTTGGAGTGATGAAGATAACTCCAATGACGAAGATGAAGTAGTCAATCTATGTCTCATGGTCATCGAAGAAGATTCAAGGGTAACTAATGATTTAAATTTCTATTCATTTAAAGAGTTACAAGATGCCTATTATGAATTGTATTTGGAATTTAAGACCATGAATTCCAAATATAAGAAATTGATTTCAAAATTTAAAGTTGAAAATGATTTTCTTTTAAAAGTAAAATTAGATTTTGAAAATCAAAATGAAATTTTGAAAAATGATTTTGAGGTTTCAAAAATTAAAACTAATGATTTAGAAAAAGTAAATATTGGTTAAAAAATTAAGCTTGAATGCTTAACAAAAGAAAAAAGAAATAATCTCTCAAAACAATGCATCATGTTTAAATATGGCAAAATGCTCACATTTTCATTTCATTCACATAGAACATACTTGTCCTTTAAGACCTAGAAAAATATTTTAAAATTAGACAAGTATGAGTTCCTAAGGGAACAAGGGACATTAGCAGTAACAATCAAGAATCCAAAGCAATTTGGATACCAAAATCCAAATAAATGTCTCTTGAAGGTGTGTGAGAGCAATGATAACAAAAGTGAATAAATTCAAATGCTCTAGCCACACAAGATGAGAAATGTGTAACCTCTAAACTTAATGTTTTTTATTTTACATTATTGGTTGCCTATTTGTTTTATGCATGCATGAGTTTTTGAACATAAATGATCATTTATTATTTCTAAATCTCATGTATGTTAAAATGTGTTATGGTGAACATTTTAAAGCTTTTAATGATTTTTCATAAATTTTTGTAATGATTTTTGGTCAAATTTGTTTTTCATGTTGTTTTAAACAATTTTTTCTTATTTTTGACCTTAAATTTTAATGTTTATGCATGTGTCTTAAATTTAAAAATGATATATCTCTAACAATTTATATCTAGTTTCCAATGCCTAACATTTGTAAAGACTTTATGCATATGAATTATAATGTCTCATTTTTTATATTGTATAAAGATCAATTGACTTGGATTTATTGAATTTCATGTGCTACTAATTTGCTTCTCTCTTATCTTATTGAAATTCAATATTATTTGAAACGTCAAAGTATTAAGCTAAAATTTGTTTTTGGAATGCATTTGTTGAGGGGGAGCTTTAATTTCTCAAATGATTTTAAATTAAAATTCTGTACTTACTCTACATAGTTATTTTGAACCAAAAAGTTTAAATTATTTTTTATATAAAAAAGGGGGAGAAGTGTAAGGTTTGAAAAAATTAATTTCTCAAAGCAAAAAAGGAGCTTAAAATATTTTCAAATATTTTATCTTTTTCAAATAATGTTTTGCTAAGGGGATTTTTTTTTACCAAAAATCATTTTTCAAAGGTTTGGTTATATAAAAAGGGGAGATTGTAGAACCAATATTTTGACATAACAAATAAGGGTAAAATATTTTTGGACTTAATTGAATTAATTTAAACATTGCAAAAATAATTCAAGTTTTTAAAAAGATTTTTAAAAGGTGAAACTAGACAATATTGGGTCTGGTTTCGAAAACCCTCTTAGGTGGTTACGAAACCCCTAAGGCAATAGTTAAAATTGGCCTTACAGTTTTGAAACCCCCTGGTGCAACAGTCGAATTTTTAAAGGCAGTTTCAAAACTCCCATGTGATTTCGAAACCTCTGTGTAGAATTGTAGATTTTCATGCTTCCAAAGACTAAAATTCATCCTCAATAGTCACAAACGACTAGCAACTCCTTCAAACATATAAAAATAAGTTGATGACACTTGAAGAATGTTACAACACCTATCCAAACAATCCACATCAAGAGAAAATCTCTTTCAATCTTATTTTTCCTTTTCTCTTGTACATAGGGTGTCTTTGTAAGTTAAATTGTGTAAACACCTACCTTGTGAGTTTTTTATTTTACATTTCTTTATCCTTTTATAAAAGAGATTTGATTCTAGTTTAGCCGATGAAAACTAGGAAGTTGTAAAAAATTACTCTTGAGCCTAGAAAAGAAAAAATAAATTAGTAAATTTATTATAAATCCTTATTGTAGAGATAAGGTAGTTAATGTAAACTTGATTGAAAAGTCGAATCACTCTAAATTATTGTACAAATTGTCTATCATTTCTCTCAATGCTCCCAAAAATTTTATTTAATCAATTCACATCTCTTAACGGTTTTCAGTTGATCGATTCGAACTTAACAAAACCATCATAAGCTTCTTAAATCTAGCATTGTATAGTTATGTAACTTTTTAAGTGTTTAAATATAATTTTCTAAACGTACTTTTATCGAGTTATTGAATCAAAAAGTTAATACATGCGTTGTCATTATCGACTAACTTGTACTTGTGCAAATATGCGTCTTTAAATCACATCACTTGTGCTGTTCAAATTGTGACCCTCTTTTTTTTTTCCGCTCCCAACTTTAAAGTTCTAATCGATTTATGTTATATTAACAGAAAGCGTTTCCTGTTAAATACATCTCTACTTATGTCACAGAAAATGATGTAGCATTAAATTTTGAAAATGAGAAAATGAGTTGATATATCCGATATTAACTGATTCGAAAATATTAAATAGAAAAGCATGAACCAAAAACACTTTCAAGAGCATCCAAGCTGCAATAGACCAAAGGTATGATCAGTTCTTCAGCCCTTCCTTCTCAAATGGCTACATAAAACAAAACCTTTGCCACTGAAAGATTCGTTTTCAACTATCATTTTCATAGGAATTTCACCTTTTTTATATTGGCAAAGTGTTGCACACTGAATTGAGGAGAGTATCTTGACTTCTTTTCCTTCTTCTTTGGGGAAATTAAGATGGAGGTGTAGGAGTTAGTAGGTTTATGCCCAATGCCTTTTCTTATCGCCTCTTCTTCAGCTCCTATTTCCTCCTCGTCGTCGTCATTATTGTTCCTCAGAGTGACCCTATTCCGATATGCTTTATGTTGCAAAAGAAAGACATTGAAATAGTAGCAAACTAGTTGTTCCCTACTTTTGTTATGAAAATGTTTGCAGCTTCCATCCCATAGTGATAAAGGATTCGACTTACCTATACACGAAAACATCTTCTCTTCTTCCTCTTTCCAAGAAAATGCAACCTCTTCGCCCATCTTATCGAATTTCCACCGGTAGAAAGCGAAACCGAGCTCGAGCTTTGCTTTCAACCTTTTCTCAGCGACATGAGACCTTACACATTGTATCGAATCTCGAATATGGCAGCCACATGAATCTTGTCTTCCCTTTCCGATCCGATCCCTTTCGATCATGAATTTGTTTTCCTTTTTTTCCGATGGCCAAACACGAGTCCCTAACCATTTCGGATCGCTTTCTGAAGCTCCACCAGTCCACTCTGGTACCTCAACTTGAAAAAGTGGTCCAATAGGAACATGAATGTTGACATTATAGTTTAACACTAAACCTAGAGTTGCAGAGTCACAATATGTACTCAACACAGAACTGCACAAATCATTATGAATCCCGGAGGAAGAAGACGGTGACCGATCAAGCCCCTTCGATGCCATTTTCCCCAAATGGAGTTGCTTTGTGCTACTCAACCTCTCTCTGAGATTGTACTCCAATTTAGTGTGATCATCACATGGATGCACCTTATGGTTTTTCTACAATGTGTAAACATCATGCAATCTTTATAACATGAACAAAGAGGAAAGAAACAAAAACACAGAAGCATGTGTATGGAGACCGTCATTCAGAGACGGATGCAGAATTTATATTAGGAATGCGAACATAAAAATTTATATTAAAAAAATCAAAAGTCCCACTCCTCTGTCCATCTCTGGGTAGCATAATACAAAACCAACTAGAAATTATAGGTAAAGTTTTCAAGTCATCTCAATTCTTTAATCCTAGATGTTTAGCAAAACAAAATATTTTGCTTGCCTCAGGCATCACAAAACAACAATAGTAAACTTGATTGAATGATAATTACACCTCAGATAGCAACTAAACAAGGATAGATCAAAGGGGTAGGTGGGATAGTCACCCCCTAAAAATTTAAAATTACTATACATTTTAAATTCTCTATGTATTTTATATTAAAAATTTGTTTCTCATATAATTTTATAAATTTATCTCCTCTTAAAATTTTAGGGACTAGCTCTCTAACATAAAATTATGCGCTCGTCCGGTAAACAGACAATAATATAAAGGCTAAATCCTTAATTTGGGTCTAAAATTTTGAGATCATGATTGCAAAAGATCAAACATTTTAAAGTAGTAAATAAACACCAAAACATTTTAGATATGCTCTAATAAGAACTAAGATAAACCATTCTACATATAATGATCAATAAAATATGAGACCAATCTATCTGCACCGTATAAAATGTTTAGTTTCATACTTTTGAGATCATTAGATGAGTGAGAATAGAACGTTAAAATTACCAGTAGAAATGAGAAAATATTCACCGAATAAAATAACGATATAATCTCATCCTTTTATTTTCACTCATCCAACCATCTTAAAAAAGTCTAAAACGATTTAAGTAGATCTTAACCCATGAAGTATTATTACAATTACCCATCATGCTGTGGTAAAGCATACATGTTTGATTTTCTTCACACCATTATAACTAAAGAAATACAACATAATTACCCGATCTGGATTAATCGGTCAATAGATCGGATACCAGTGATTAATTAAAAAAATACAACATAATTACCATAAACCTTAGTTCTATTTTTGTTAGCTGATCCAAGAAGAATTGTAAGATTTAACTTGATTGAGCGGAAAAATGAAAGTGACTTTGCTAAGTATTGGAAAAGTGAAGAGATCGGAGATGAAAATGAAAAAAATAAATAAATTTTGTGGTGTTTAGTAAGAAAAAGAAATTACATTTCCTTTTAAATTTTTTTACCGTTTCAACAAAACACATCAATAAAAAGGAAAAAATATTCCATCTTACTATTTTTCTACTTCGATTTTCAATCCTACTAATTTTCTGTACAGTTCATCAGACAACCTAAAGAATTTGATAATTAAGCTCAATTCTTATTTATCTACTTTGAAAGATTTGGTCTCGTAAGGAATGTCTAAGGGACGACAACATAATTTAAGATTAAAGAATAGTAGGAAAGGGACGGAATCGAAAATATTATAAAAAACATACCATTTCTAGTTAAACACAATCTAAAATATTAATTTTTTTCTTAACATTTTACGGTTGCACACCGTTTTCATAACATTATCAATTTCTTCGTAGCATTTTCTGTTGCACTAAACTGAAAATATATATTTTTTTAAACGTTTTCGATTTTGTCCATTTCCTTCCTACGGTTTCATAGTTTTAAATTAATTTGCCATACAACATAACTTCACTGTCATGTGTGAGCATAAACAGTACCTCAAAATTGTACTCTCAAATTATGCATTTATCCTAGAAAGTTCTACAGTGCGATACCTTAATATAAGACTAAAATAATGTGTTATCGGTAGGGATGGCAAAAAAATCCGAACCCGATGGGGAAAACCGAAAATCGAATTTAACAGGTCGGGTTCAGGGATGATAAACGGGGACGGGGACGAGGACGGGGAAAACCCGTTTATGTTAAACGGGGACGGGGACGAGTTTGGTAATCCCGGCCCCGATTACCCGGCCCGATACCCGACCCAATAAATATTAAAAATAATTATTTTTTTATATATAATATTAATAACATATTTTAAATTAACCCTTAAATATTTTTTATTATTTTTTTCACCCCATACTGCCCCACTTTAAAATATCGTCTCCGCTTCAATTTCTAGAATTTACCTCAATTTTCGCTGTCTCATAATATTCTTTTTTTCTTTTAATCATGAAAATAGTGCTTACACTTCTTGTTTGCAATCACGTGTGAACCTTTAATATCTTTTAATAGACAAACATTGTCTAGTTAAATGGGAAAAGTCTGGTTGGTTTGGTGGTATTGTGCCACTTCCAACGAACGTGTACTTGCTGCAGGGTCCTCGTCCAGTACACCATTACACACCTGAAGCCCACCACTAGCATTGGCAAGCTGGAACTTATGTCCAGCAGAATTTAAAATCAATGCAACTTGCATATTGTCTTCGTCTCTTCGACAGCAACCCTCATTTTCACCTCGCAATCCAATAACCTCATACAAGTTGTCTCCATTACACAAACTTTAATGTTCCTCTGACAAAGCGAAGCATGTGAATTAGCCATATTAAAATCAGCCTCGGGACCTATACCAACATCACATTCTTCCCTAACAAATGAAACAACAGCTGCTCTCTAGTATTAAATTCGAAAATTCTAAAAAATTCCGGTTATTTCAAAAATTAACCGAATTAACCGAAATTTATTCGGTTCGGTTAATATTTTCGAAAAAAAAATTGATTCGATTAACGTTTAAAGAAAAAAAAATCGGTTAATTCGATTAATAGTAGTTCGGTCGGTTCGGCCACCGAATTAACCGAATGAACAACCCTACCGATACCCGTTTAAATAAACGTTTATCCTAAATGGGGATACCCGTTTCCCCGCGGTTTTCCCCGATTACCCGATGAGGATCCCCGTTTAAATCCCCGCAGTTTTTTAAACGGGGACGGGTACTGATTTTTTAAACGGGGACGGAGACGGGGACGGGGGGACCAATACCCGACCCGAACCCGACCCGTTGCCATCCCTAGTTATCGGTTTTGTTATTATTTAAATATCAAAACGGGTAAAAAATTACCTAAAACATTATTATTTTACTTAAAACATCAATTTTTTTAACATTTCCGGTAAAAGTGACCAATAATAACAAAATCGGTAGAAAAAATAACAAAACCAATAGCGCTTTACCAAATCCGGTAAAACGCTCAATAATAATAAAATTGATAGAAATAATAATGTTTCCGATAATTTTCATCGATTTTATAACAAAACCGATAGTACTTTTTTTAACAGTATATTAAAGTACGTGAGCATTTCCTATTTACCCCGGTATTAACAATAAACTTGAAAAGGGGATTGCAATTGATATGTACCTGGCAATCGGAGCTTGGAAAATCATAATTTCTAAGAAAAGCGGCTTCTCGAAACAATAAAATCTGTTTCCAAAGATTATGACTCCCATAAGATTTCCACCTTGACCTCTCTGGTAACAAACCAATCCCAGAATCGCATGGATCCTTTGCAATCTCAGTAACCCAGTTAAGCATTCCCCATGTAGAATCACGCTTCCTCTTACGAATCGATAACTTTTCATTTGTGCCAACATTCAGATCCATAATCACATCATCATCATCATCATTATCGTCATTAATGCACTTTATGTCATCTTCATTCTGCAATTTTTCATCTCTATGCTTAGATTCTTCATTTTTTACCCATTTCTCTCCCACGTGAGAATACTGCATATCTTTCTTCTTTGATTCCAATAAAAACCCGTTAAGCTCAGCTTTCAACTCCATCAAATGACCACCGAAGTTCATTTCGTGCTTCAGCTCCTCCCTTTGAACAAATCTCTTCAACACTCTCTCTAATGAAACCAAGGTCGATCTAGGAACCAGCTGAGTCAAGCTTTTCTGGGCTATTCCCTCATCGGTTACCCTTGGATTTCGAGTTCAAACCCTTAAAAAAAACCAGGGCTATACATAACAAATAAGAAAATTGGGACCAAAATGATAAACAATTAAAAAATCAATAGAAAGTCATCAGTGATTCATTTAGACATCAAGGTTTTTTTAAGTTAGGAAATGGATTCGGGTGAGAAATGAGCTAATCTAAGATTTTCTTTTCCTGAGAAAAGAAAATTCTTTCATTTTGTCTACCGGCCGCCATCCCTCCCTCCTTTGAAGATAGATGCATAAAAGATTATAATTTGGAAGGGTTAAACTACAAATCTTGGACAGATGCATACCCTTGTTTGAAAATAAATTTTTTTCTTGATAAATCTAAGATGTATACAAGACAAAACAGTTCAAATACTTTCAACCATTTGACAATAAACACTTATTTTCCTAATATATATGACGTTGGAACCAGAAATAACAATAAATACATTAACCACGGATGTGGTTTGATTCTTGTTGTTTAAATTCCATTCAAGAACTTCTATTTCAAAAATTTAAGTCAAACATTTTAAAATAAACATAACATCAAAAAAAATATCACTAATATTAATATTTGAATAAATAGTTATTTTAATTTCTATCTTTTATAATAAAAAAGACTTAAAAAATATAAATTGCACGAATTAAGTCGCTGTAATGATTAAAGGATGATTATTATTCATAAAAGTCCTAAGTTCAAACATAATATCTACAAGTTATAATCAAATAATAAAAAATCTTTCGAATAAATATTACTTTATAATTATTCAAATTAATTAAAAAATTATAAGCTTAGAAAGTTAAAAAAAAGGAGGAAAACATACCTAGAAATTTTGATGAGACTTTATTTTCCTTCTCAGTCCTCTTTTTGCACCTTTGATTTTGCCTAAATTTCTACCCTTATATTTTAGGGTTTTATTTGTAAGCCTCTTTTGGTGCCCTCAACCCATTCTCTCATCTTACCTTCGATGAGCTCTTTGGTATTAGTAAAAGGAGGGTTGGAGAATGAAAAGGCTTTATAAGGATTCAAGAATCCTCCAAACCCATTAATTTATACTAGCTGCCATGCCATGATGTCTTAACCTAGGTAATTATTAACCATGGTTGTGTCATAATAAAATTTGAAATTTTTTGGTTTAGAGGAAGAAATATAGTGTGCGTTTGGATGAAAAAGTTTTAAATTTTGAAGATTTTTTTTTCAAATATTTGTATTTTTAAAACACATGAATATTTTTGTTTGGATACTTTTTTAAAAAATTATAAAACTTCTATAAGTTTAAAATTAATTATAAAATAAAAGTAGTTATAAAAAATAGGGTAAATTATACAAATGGTTTTTAGACTATAGAGTGATACTTTGTTGAGTCTATCGATTATTAAAAGTAACAAAATAATCCTCCATTATAGGATATTGTTTTATTGAGTCCATCAACCATTAAAAGTTACAAAATAGTCACTCAACTATTCGTTTATTCTAGACTCGTCATTTTTCGTAAAAAATGATGACATATTGAACTAGATGTTAATATGTTGACTGAGATATGATAAAATTTGATCTCAGAATCTCAAACGACTATCACTTCTTAGTCAGCATGTTAACGCCTAGCTCAGATTATCGTTAATTTTTAACGAAAAAGTACGAGTTTAGAACACATGAATAGTCAAAGGATCATTTTGTAATTTTTAATAGTCTGGAGACTCAACAAAACAACATCTTATAGTCGAGGGATCATTTTTGTATTTTACCCTAAAAATAAATATAAAAAATTCAGCACATTATTATTTTTATGAATATGAGGTAAGTGCAAGATAATATATATTTAAAGATAACTCTCAATCATTTGACATGGAACACACACATATAATATAAAATATAATATAATTAAATAATAATTATTGTTGAAGTTTAATTTTTTATAATAAAATATGGTGCATTAAATGAAATAAGATTATGATAAATTTTAGGTGAGAAGTCATCAGAGGTCCTTGTACTTTAAAAAACAAATCAATGTCTATTTCATATTATTTTGCCAAGAGGGTAATATTTGCCCTTGTGGTAGATTTAATTTATCACTTTCACCCTTATCTTATTTTTGCATCAATTTAGCCCTCGAAGTTACTCAATTGTATCATTCTATAACCCTACCTCTAACTTAAAACCCTAAGTTATAATCCTTAAACACTAAACCATAACCCTATTATCTCTAAACACTAACTTATGTTTTATAATTTAGGGTTTTAATTTAGGAAAAAGACATAGAATGATGTAATTAAACAAATTTGAGGGCTATATTCATGCAAAAATACGATAGGGGAGAAAATGATAAATTTGATCTACTACAGGGGCAAAGGTGACCCTTAAGCCTATTATTTTTCTCTCAATATGTCACTCTAACTTAAAAAATAAGCCTAATGTGGCCCTTTGACCAATTTTTTTGTCATTGACCATTACGATGATGATGTGGTAGTTCACGGTGCTAACGTGACGGTCCACAGTGTTGATATGACAATTCACAGTGGTTGATAACATGGCGGATAACATGGAAAATAGGCTAAATTGATAACTCAAACATAGTAGATGGACTATCACGTCAGTATTGTGGAATGCCACATCAACATCGTTAATTATCATGTCATCACCGTAACGGTCAAATGACGAAAAACATTAGTCAAAGGGCCACATTGAACTTATTTTATGAGTTGGAGGGCCACACTGGTTCACTTATGTGAGCCTTAGCCTTGATCACTCGATTATAAAAATATAATCACTCTCAATCATTTGACAATGAATGCTCATACCCCTGATTACATAGTGCACGAACCAAATACTTTAAGGAATAACAATAATTTATTAATCAGCAAGGTAGATTGACTCATGTATGTCAATTATATTTAAACAATCATAAAAGTTAATAATTAATAATAATAAGTGTGTTAACACCCATTTTCATATGGGTTTTATTATTATTATTATTATTATTATTATTATTTATTTTATTTGCAGGTCCAAATACAATATCCAAGCCCTTTTACAAAATAACCCAACCCCGAGCCCAAATCACATCAAGCACAACAACCCAAAACCAAATCTAACTTAAACCCTATCTAACCTACCCTAACCCCATCATGCTTCTACCTTCGCCATAGCCTAGCTAGAGCTATCACCGCCTAGCAAGAACTGTCGCCTGTTACTTTACCGGACAGAAACCCTAATTCAAAAAATCACTAAAAATCAAATCAATCAAAAACAAATCTATTATAATAATAACAAATCCACCAAACTCAATGAAACAACCACAATAAAAAGAGGAACCCGAAGAAGAGAAATGAGTGAGAATAAAAAAAAGGGATTCGAACACAATAAACAATAGAAAGAGATGGTTCAAACAAGAGAGAAGAACATGAAGAATAACCCTTCAAAGAGGAAACTGAAAAAAGAGGAAAAGGGGTTCACCTTCAACTGAGGTTCCTTGTCAGTGTTCAGAGTGTCAGATCGTTGATTCGGATGATAAGGAGATGCGAGGGGACGAGGGGACCTATATACTATCGTCTGAGCTCCATCTAACGATGGACGATGACGGATAGAAGACAAAGAAGCCAAACGATTTTTAGTTATTTCGTACATTTTGAGGTCACTCCCGGCAGTTTAGATCCCGGATCTATGGTCTTGACGTCAAGACGAGGCTTCCCATGAGATTTGGAGCGGAATAGTTACCGACAATAACAGAGACAGTGGCTGAAGTTAACCAACATGGTGGTCAGCGATGAACTTTCATCAATTTTCTCTAAGAGATATGATAGTTTAAAGGGGGAGAGAGAAGAAAATAAAAAAAAGGCTTAATACAAAATAAGTGCCCGAGCTATGTCTTGAAAACGTTTTAGTATCTAAAGATTTTTCTCTAAAAATAAGCGTCTAACATTTTCTCGGTTATACTTTTAGGTGCCTACCATTTATTTTTTATTTTTTAATAATCAAAAAATTAATTAAAAAGAAAAAAATTATTTATAAAAAAACCCAACTTTTTACTGAAATTATAAAAAAAAACCCCTAAAAAAACTAAAATTTCTCATTTCAACCCTCATTACCAACCATCGCCAGCCATCTCCGACCACCATCGTTATCGTCAAATGGTCACCCACCCGTTGATCAATCGTTGTTCTTACCGTCACCCAAAATCCCTAAATGTAAAATCCCCAATATCAAAATACCTAATTCCCAATTTCAATTTCTTAACCAAAACCGTCGCCGACCATCTCCGGCCATCATCATCATCGTCAAACAGTTGGGTTTAGATCGAAATAGCACGGTGGTTCGAATGGTGGCAACGGTACGACTTATGGACGTCAGAATCGTCTAAAATCGGCAAAAAAACGACAACAGTGACTTAAAATCCAACGAATCTTTAAAAGTTTCTCCACAACAAACGGTAACATATTAGGACGAAAGACCAACGAGAGTTTGATCGGAGGTCGACGCCAATGATGATGACGGTGGTGGTGACTGTCACTGCTGGCCGACTGACGACTTTTGGAATAATGAAAGGGGAAAGGGGAAGGGAAAAGGGGGAGAGCACGTGGGGGTGGGAGTTGTTCTTAAAAAATATTTTTATTTTTAACTTTTTAAAAAATTCTCAAAATCACCAAAAAGTGACACGTGTCATTTAACGAAGATATTTAACAGCGATTAACGTCCAGACACCTAAAAATATATTGTTTGAAACATTAGACACTTATTTTTTGCAAAAAAATCTTTAGGCACTAAAATATTTTTCAAGGCATAGTTCCAACACTTATTTTTGTATTAAGCCTAAAACTAGAAAGAAATATCATAAATGGGGCGACACCATTTAGAGGGGAAGGTTTTGCGCGCCTTGTCGTGGGATAATCATGCGGGGAGTCATCCAATGTTTGTACCTCTTTACTTTAGTCACTAAATGCAACTTTCTTTTTTTCTGATTTTGAGCTACATATTTATTCTGCTTATATTTTAGTCATTTGTTTACTCTTAAATGTTTTTGGTTTGGTTACTGATTTTCACTAGCGGTTTACGATATATTGCATATTAGTCCTCTATGATTATTGCATGTTAGAATATTCTCGATTTATGCTTTTGGCCGCTGTAATTTCGTCATTTATTCATTTTATTCATTGCTTTATATTTTATGTATTATTTACATATTTAACCCATGTTACTTTAGTTTCTTCTGATTTAGTCTCTAATTTAAATACATTATTTCCTATTTGGCCATTGCTTTTGTTGTTTATTTTTTTTTGTCCATGAGCTACTAAAGTTCTTATTTAGAATTCTCTGTTTGAAGTGTTTTATATTTTACTCCATTTTTATATTTATATTATTTGTCATTTTTTATACTATAATATATATATATATATATATTCTAATATCATAGTACGTGTATGGTATTATATATATATATATATATATATTATCAGAACCGTCTTTCGGTTGGGCCCTGAATTAGGCTTCGACTTGGATTAAATGAATTGGAGTCGCCACCAACCATTTAAAACGAATTTAGGTAGGTCGGACACCATCTTACCTTATATGCGTTGTACCAGAAACGTGTCGGGTTCGGGAGTCGATTATGGTCAAGGCAGGATTAGCACCCTTGAACCGCCCTTTCGATACCAATTAATTTATCGGTTATCTTAATCACGAAAATCAAAATTTAAATTGAAATTTAAAAAATTCAATTCAAATTAATTATCTTTGATCGATTGAAAATATCCCTAAAAAGTCAAAAGTTTTGGATCGTAAAAATGAAAATAAACATGAGAAAAGAATAATAAAAAATATTAATATTATAATATTAATAAAAAATGAAAAAAAAAATAAATGTATATATATATATAACAATGTAAAAAGAAATAAAAAATATTAAAATTAGGAGAAAATGAAAAATATATATAAAGTAAATAAATAAATAATGAAATAAAAAGAATAAGTTAAAAGTTGTTACATCTCCCATGTTTTGCATGT